GCATTTATATGCACAAAAGAAGAAAGTATCCCGGGGGAAACCAATGACCTTGATGCCTGCAATGTGGCATTTCTAGCTGTCGCCGAGTCTACGCTTGCTCGTATGTTTGAGGACTGTACAGTATTCCCTGCAGAGCTTTATAAAGCAAATAGCTTTACTTTTGGTTATTAATTCATAATGTGGATAGGATTAAACTTCCATTCCTATACTGCAACCTTGTTTTTGTTAAAGGTGCAATATGCAGGATTTTTGCAGTAAAATATCCCAAAACCACTAGGCCAATGTTATATATTTTGTTTAGTTGATTACTTACAATATCCCAAATGTTTCCAACTATTTGTAAAACGTGAGAAAATTGCGATTTTTAACCAAGGAAACGGGGCGTTTCCACCAGGTTTGACCTCGTACTGCAATAGTAACCATGGTGACAGACGTGGACAACTGGGTCGGTTATGCCCGTTATGCGTGCTCAACAGCGTGAGCGTCCCTAACAGGGTTTTGTTCAAACATTATGGACCATGGCAAGCAGACTTTGAAACAAAAAATAGGACTAAAAGGAAGATCAAGATCTTTCGAAATGCCGAGAGCTCCACCTCCGCGACTAACTTCGACTTGACAGAGACGCGAGTGTTGCATGTTACTTGAGCAAACAGCTGAGCAAATTAATCTATATAAAACTAATCAATGTTATATAGTTCAACATCATGAAAAGTTAGAATATGATCTGTATGTTATTCTAATGTTAATCTAGCTTAGTCTCATACAGCCGACAAACAATCTAACTAACAACATTCAACACACTCAAATGCTGTTTAGTGTGATAGTGAAACTGCTGCGTTACCTCAAGTTTAATTCCTCTAATAAACTGACCTGTGTGAGTAATTCAGGGTGTAGTTCGGTAGAATTAAATGTCCTTATTCCTTTATATCCGTGGGACTCACGTTGTGTGTGGCGCTGGTATACGTCTAGCAATCACGCCCTGCTTCATACTACAGTCATTTTAAAAACATCACTGTATTCACTCATCCATAAAAGATCCATCAGCTTGACGACAAGATCCATAATTCCGCTTAATGCGGAATATACGTCATTAATATACGCCTTTGTTATTGTAAGAGGTTAGCGACCCCTGATGGTGAAATAATCTTGCATATTGTACCTTTAATTTACAATAACAAATCTATAGTCACTGTGGTTGCCAACATCACCATGGAATGGCATTTTGTTGTCTGTTTTATGTTTTTTACAATTATATTAATTTGAAAAACAAAAAATGTAAACAAATACAGTGATTCTTACAGGGAATATCTCTTTACAGATAAATTATTACTTTACATAATTCATAACATGAAAAATTTTTACCATTTCTGTGATATTCTATGATAATATCACCATAAACATATATGTATTGCTATGTTAAACATATATTTTGTCTTTGAATTATAAGTGAATTTATACTATATACTTTTTTAGAATCAATTTACATTGATTATTGTTCCTGGTATGGTAAGGTAACTTCACTTTGTACTATACAGGACATCAAGTATGGTTCAAGTATGATCTCTCTTTTTTCTTGTGATATAATGTCCTTTTCTGCATTTCCACCCATTTTTTGTATTGAGCAGTTCATTAGTTGCAATTTTATTGGTAATGAGACTTAAAACAGCTTTAACTCTAATTGATAAGTGCGGTCACCTCATGTACGCTGCCCGTTTGCTCTCAAAATGGTTCTAGAATCTAGGTCCCCAAACAACCTTGGGATTTCTGCATTTGACTGATTCTATTTTTGGCCATAAAGGTGGTTTCACAGCCAAGACCCTTCATTGAGGACAACCTACTTTTCAAAGTTTGCATATTTTAAAATGTGACCATAAGTAGAGTTTGGTTTAGGCTAAATTCTTCTAAATTCAATGAAATTGATCTGAGAACCTCAGATTTACACGGTAGACTGTTACCACACTTCCAAGTCCCTGTAAAATTAAAATGTACAAAAGATGTATATGAAATAATTTTTTAAAATATAGAAACGTCTTGCTCAAATGAGGCTAGAAAATCCAGACGTGGTTAAAATCGGCTGAGATCAATGTTAAAGACAAATCTCCAGGTAATAGTCATGATATAACTTAAACTTGCCTTAAATGTATGGCTGTACTGAATCTGGTTTTAATGCCGAGGGCTTAAAATGGTGGAAGTTGTTCCTGTTTATATTGTTATCCATAATAATGCATTTAAAATTCCTGATCACTGGGAGCATGTATAAATAATTCATCTGTCTGGTATAGGTCACATGGCTAAACTCTTTAGTAATTCATTTATTTCTTTGCTTCCCTGCTGTGTTTATTGACCATAGGGCCCACAGAAAGCTCAAGAGCAGGGGCTGACTGTAAGCATGACTGTTGATTTGGAGATCTAATGTTGATTTATAAGATTTATTTTATCATTAAAGAGTAGAATAAGGAAACAAGGCACATAATCATTGATTGCAAAATAGCAAATGGGTTCTTTGTATAATTATTACAGTCATTCAAATGAAAGTTAGGTATTAAAAGGAAACCAAATATATTACAGGATTAAGATTTAAGATAGTATTATGCTTTTAATAACAGGCATTTATTCTGTTTATTTTGACCTTCCACTTTGATAGCTGATCCATAAATCTGAGAAAGAAAAAAATAAATAAAAAAACATAAATCTGAAAATATCAGTAGTGATCTTAAGGAGTACCTCATGCAATGTAAAGTAACATGTTATTGATATACATTTTACTAAAATAATCTATTATATATATATATATATATATATTTGGAGGTATATTTCTCATATTTCATAATATTAACAATATTCATTCACGTTAATTTTAAAAGATAAATTTGCCATTATCTCTTCATATCCTTCTTGGTGGACAAATGGAGGAAAAACTGATTGATTGCTCTGTTATCTATTAATATCTATGGACTCCTTCATGGGTTCATTTGATTAAAGTTGTAAGAATAGATTAAAGAGTTGAATGTATTTGATCTTTACTCAGAATAATGTCTGTTTCAGTGAGTAGAAAGCAGGAATGTTGAAGATGAGCATTCTGAACGACAGGGGGCGATGTGTGCCAGGGTTTTATACTCAAGAGAGAACCATGATTAATTAACTGCTACACCGTCAGTTCATTTTCATGTAATTACTTGAAACGACTTGATTGTTCTTGGTTTTCTTACTAGTTCGGTAGCTGGAGTGATTTTATGGGAAATATAAATCAATAACAGAATTATAAATGCAAAACAAGCTTCTAGTGTCCATGGTCCCTGCTTGTCCCAGTGACCTCGAGATGGAGTTGGTGTTTTATAGCTTCTCCACCGTCATGGGGATGTAATTACACAACGCAGATGTATTGATACTCCTGCTAAAGCACAGTCTGGTTCAATATCATCATGTCAAGCTCTCATTTTATGTTTCTTCATTTACATTTGCCATAACCTGACGGTTAGAGAGATTTAGGGACAAGGGGTGTTTGTAGGGATGGGTTTTTGTATTACAGCATTGTGGTATGCATTGCAATACAGTAATATATATATATATATATATATATATATATATATACTGTATACTTTATCTAGAAATAAATATTGCTGTTTTTTTTTTTTTTTGCCTTATTGTAAAGATTTACTTTATTGTAGTTATTGTAGGACACAAATAATGCTTCTCAATTCAGCCTTTTAAAGGAGTAGTTTACTTTAAAAAAAAAAAAAAATTGCTGATAATTTACTCACCGCCATGTCAGCCAAGATGTCCATGTCTTTCTTTCTTCAGTCGAAAAGAAATGAAGGTTTTTGATGAAAACATTCCAGGAATTTTCTCCATTGGGAACCAAACGGTTCAAGGTCCAAAAGACAGTTTCAGGACAAACTGCAAACTGTTCAAAGGGCTTTAAACGATTCTAGACGATGAATAATTGTCTTATCAAGCGAAATGATCGCTCATTTAAAAGCTCAAATTGTCGCCTTACTCTGTTCTGTGATGCGCATTCGTGACTCTCCTGTACGAACTCGTTCATCAAAATGAAGGAATCTTTTTTCGAGTCATTTGGTTCATTCAACGAACGAAATGAACGATTTTACTTATACCATTTGAGCTTATAAAACTTAAACTTTGTAATTTTTTTTAAAAAAATGAGCGGTCGTTTCGCTTGGTAAGACCCTTATTCATCATCTGGAATCGTTTAAAGCCCTTTGAACAGTTTGCAGTTTGTCCTGAAACTGTCTTTTGGACCTTGAACCGTTTGGTTCCCATTGAAGTCCATTATATGGAGAAAATCCTGGAATGTTTTCATCAAAAACCTTCTGACTCTTTGATTTTGGTGTCATATTTAGTATTGTGTTGTGATGTCAGGATGCGTTTTTTGTTTTTCTACTTAAAATGATGTTTACCTGTGTGTTTCATGTACCATGTGGAGTTTATGTTTGACATTTTAATGTGTTTTATAATTGTTTTCGTCTCAAATGTTGTTATTAGTTTAAGACAGCAAGCTCTTTCTCTCAGAAAAAACACATAATATCAATTATAATAATGATATTCAATAATTTACACAGTATAATTAACAATATAAATAAATTGAACTATTTACATTAAGCTAATAACATTAAGAAATCTAAAATTCAGTCAGGTGAATTGATTTTAAAACTGTTGCCTTAGTTGAATTTTGTAACAAACATGTATGTGAACAGTAATACACAAACTCTTTGTTAATATTTGTCGAGTCTATATGTGAACAAGGGTGAAATATGAAGGAGATGAAAAGAGAAAGAGGTGTGATGCAGTTCCAATATGGACAAAAATAGAAACGGCGAGGAAAAAATTGCAGGAACCCCAGTGGTCAAGGAGAGGAATGCTGTCAGCACCCTGCAGACCCCTTCTCCTCCTCTAACATTCAACAGAAGAGAGCACTTGTCTTTTCTGACTGGAGCCCCCACCAGCCAATCAGAAGACGGTTTCGCTGCTTTGTCATCAGCCTCTGATTGAGGAAGGCTCTGTTTGCTTGCTCTGTTTGTAGAAGCTTGATAAAATGCCAGGTCTCTGCAGCCTCCGGGGTGAGCCCCAGTTCTCTATGATGTGATCGATCACGCTTCATCCTCATTAATACAATACGCTGGCTTCAGGAGCAAGAGAGCGGCTGCCGTTTCCTTGACATTCCTCCTTCGGTGGTCTTTCTATGGGAAAGGGGATTATAAGAGAGCCCTGTTAGACATACTCTCGCTGGAGCTTTCTTATCCCACATTTGCATTTGATCATTAAGGTGGTCCCTTGGGAATATCAGACCTCCATGTACGACAATTTGTACCTTCATGGATTCGAAGACTCGGAGGCGGTGAGTAAGGGTCTATGTGCATCTTCATGGTATTTTCAATGAATGCATGCTCACACAAACGCAATGGGGATGGCTGCAGGAATTCAGATGGTAGATGGTACTACTGGTCCCAGTGTGTTTTGGGGGAGGGGATCTGTATGTGTTTGTGTATGGGTTTTGTTTCATGTCACCTCCACTCTTTCTCTCAACCGCGCTCTGTTCCGCATCAGTGTGAGTGGAGAGCATCAGTCAGCTGTGGTGGTAGCCTGTTATTCCGTATCAATGAGCTGTTGCTAATGCCACACTGCTTACTGGTTTATTTCCTCTTAGCTTGCAAGCACTGCTTTTTTTTTTTTTTGGGGGGGGGGGGGGGGGGTGTTCTTCATTAAGTTTCATTAGATCAGACATAAACAAGTCCCATGGGATGTATATCTATGCTGGTTACAGCCACATCAAGCCCAGTCTCCTTAATCAAGTGGTCATAAGTTTCAGCACTTTACAAGAGATGTGCCTGTTGCTCTTTTGAGATGCAGCTGTTTTCTTACACCACAAATTATTCACATTCCACTCAGTGTTACCATAGGCAAAAATTAATCTGTGATCTTATGCTTTTTTTTTTTTTTTTTTTGGCTGAAACAGGTTGTATAATATAGTGTACTGTAAGATTTTGACTCATGGATGCGTTTTATTTGCTTAAAAGGGGACCTATCCCCTTTTTACAAGATGTAGTAAAGTCCTTGGTGTTCCCAGAACGTGTCTGTGAAGTTTCAGCTCAAAATACCCCACTGATCATGTATTATAGCATGCCAAATTTGCCCCTATTTGGATGTGAGAAAAAAACATGCCATTTTTGTGAGCCAAAATAACAACAGACACTGATGGCTTTCCTGTAGCTCAAACGTTGGCGCTTGCAACACCAAAGTCATTGGTTCGATTCCCATGGAAAGCAAGAACTGTTAAGAATAGGGCTGGGTATAAAATGTTCGATACCGATACCTTGACTTCGATACCAGTTCCTCAACGATACTTTTTTCGATACCAATTTTATCTAAACAGTTTTAACAATATAATATTACCTATTTTTTTCAGTCTGTTGACTTTTTCACATGTAAAAAAGCACCAATGCTAATGTTTTCTTTGTTTCCTAATCATTGAACAACATGTATTCTTTACTTCAATTAGCTAATTGTTTCTGCCTTATCTTAATGCATTGTTTAACAATGAAAATTAACTGAAATGCATTACACTGTCACCTCTGATAACAGATCACTCTAAATTGTAATTTAGAAACATTGACTTTCTGTAAAGCTGCTTTGAAACGATATGTATTGTGAAAAATGCTATACAAATAAATGTGAATTAAATTAAATATGGGCTTCTGGGGGGCGGGATATATGTCTTACACTCAGCACCAACATGACATCATGACTTTTGCGTAAACATATACGCCACTTTCGAGTCAGGTGGCTTGTTATCTCTACGCATTTTGAGCTATCCGCGTGTATCTGTGTGTATGCGTATATGTCTACGCCATTAACATCCGCGTCATTCCGCGTGTCTGTACACGCAGTCAAATCTCCAGTCATAAATGCCAATAACCCCAGTGACGGTTAAGTTTAGGGATGGGGTTGAGGTAAGTCATATCTTTTTTTTTACCTAGGATGGTAAGGGAACAGTCATACATGCCATTAACCCCAGTGACGGTGTGGTTTAGGGACGGGGTTGAGGTAAGTCATATATTTATATAACGTTAAGTCAACGGCGTTCATAAACACGCTGAAAGGCGATTATGCGTCTTGATAGCACGCCAAAAATGGAAATACGAATTGGCGTGTCATACACATGCTACTTCATGAGATCAGTCTGCTCAGCACACATGAAAGCACTGGCAAAAGTAGCCTCATGATTATGGATGTGTCGGGAAACAATAGCAAGGATATTTTTAAATTGTTTATTAATGAACAAGTGTTTAATAAGTGTGCTGGCTGCAAATATGATTATGGCGATGCTGACTCGTCATTCCTGCAGTAGTGAATGTGCGCGCCTGTATGGGTACAAGGGTACAACGACGCATGCACGAGAACCCGGTAGATGGCTTCCTCTTCTGTGATTTCGGGAGGAAGAGGTACCTCATTGCCACCAGACTCTGTTGGAGGAGACAACATAGGTTCAGTGTGAGGTTTTAGGAGAGACACATGGAAAGAACCATGGAAGGAATTGACTCCAGCTGTCCTGCTTTTGATGGCAGTAGGACCTCAGGACCTCGCTCTGCTGGAACCAGTGGTTGACAGCTGGGATCTCCGAGGGCTCACCCGACCTGAGGAATAATGGAGGTTGGTATCACAGGATACATTGGAAAGGGGTGAGCACTGTGGTGGATTGTTGTAAGGAGTTCTGGTCGTACTCCGCCCATGGAAGGAATTGACTCCAGCTGTCTTGGTTTTGATGGCAGTAGGACCTCAGGTATCTCCTGATTTCCTGGATCTTCCACTCAGTCTGGCCGTTGGTTTGAGGATGGTAACCGGAAGAGAGGCTTACTGATACTCCAAGGAGCTTGAACAAGACCTGAGATATAAACTGCGGAGCCCAGTCTGATACTATATCTTTGGGAAGACTGAAGTGACGGAAATCGTTCTGGCTTCTAAGTCCGTGGGTAACCCCTTGAGGGCAGATGATAGGTTGGAGAAAAGTAGAGGAGTCCTTCTGGATCTCCCAGCGGAGCAGGTTTGGAGCGAGTAGCTTGGGTAATTGGATAAGACTTAAGATCATAGCTGGAGGGAGAATAGGTTCTTGAGAAGAATCTTCTGGATCAGGTTGATGAAGACGGGATAAGGCATCAGCCTTAACGCTTTTATCTCCAGGACAGGTCGATATGAGACGGTGAAATCGAACCTGGTGAAGAATAAACTGTATGTAGAAGTTTGTGAATCCTAGGAAGTGCTGCAGCTCCTTTATGGTAGTGGGTTAAGTCCAGTTCCAAAAGGTATCCACCTTCCTCTGGTCCATCTGGATGCCATGTTGATCGATGACATATCCCAGGAAATGTACGGAGGTGGTATGGAACTCGCACTTCTACAGCTTGAGGTAGAGATGGTAATTGCGGTGCTTTTCGGGGACCTGTGTCACGTGGAAGTGATGTTCGGCCAGGTTTCAGGAATAGATGAGGATGTCATCGATATAGACCACAACGAATCGTTAAAGGAATTCCCCGAACACCTCATTCAGATAGCCCTAGAAGACAGAAGGTGAGTTGGACAAGCCATACAGCATGACCCAATATTCATAGTGTCCAGACGGGGTAACAAAGGCTGTTTTCCACTCATCGCCTCGGCATATACGAATGAGGTTGTATGCGCTCTGCAGGTCCAGCTTGGAGAAGATGCAAGAAGGAACCCACTGCATTCCTCCGCCTGAATATCGCTGGTGGGGCCATGGGACTAGCAGAGGCAGTAGGCGAAGCAGAAGGTGCTGGGTGCGGATGTGATGAACGTGCAGCTTGAATCAAATCATCTGGAATGGCGGGTGGATTGTTCAACAGATGTTGAAGGCTGGAGTGAAAGACGAACGGCGTGAACCAGGACTGCAAACGGATCGGTGGGGCTATCCTCTGCAATATGCGTGGGACTTTGCATGAGGTCTGGTCTTCTGTCACGAAACAGAGGGAAGCAGACAAGTAGGTGATATGTAAACAGATTTTTTGAGCAGTTGCATGGATCTGAAGAGTTATGCAGACAGGTGAGCTTGTGGCAGAGTGACAGAATATATATACAAGTACAATATTTAGACAATCCTCAGACAATCTATCTATCTAACTGTTTCCTACACTGAGAGGCTGTTTAATTTGTGAGGAGGACAATTTAATACCCTGCCGAAAGTATTTTCTCTGGAATTATATGGTGCAGGAACATCATGAAAATGATGTAATTAGAATGAAGTTATGACAAAGTAGCTCAGATCTGGTGGCCTGTGATGATCTTAATATAGCCTTGTGGTCTAATTGTGTCTGCCTCTCTTTCCTCCTCTTTCCTTACAGCTTATGAATATTAAAGGTAATGGAGGGTTCAAGCGGGTACTATTCATTGCGTGTAATTATTTCATGTATCCTGTTTTTTGCACTATTGTTAGCCTAACCAGAACCACACTGTTATACAGTATTTGTATATCGTTTTCTAATCAAATGCATAAGTTTCAATCTACCGGATCAGACATAATCTCATACTGCATTTAAAGTGTAAGTGATTGTTCTTTCAGTATAGTTTTAAGATAAATCTTTTTGAGAAGAACAGATGAGTGATTGCTGTTTTGAAACAATTCTTTTGACTGTATTGTTATTGCTTTTAACTGAATTGTATTGAATCTTGACTGTATTGGACTGAATCGGCAAGGGCAGTTTGTGTTTTGAATTAACACTGTTAAAGGGTTGGTTCACCCAAAAATGAAAATTCTGTCAGTATTTACTCACCCTCATTTTGTTCCAAACCTCTATGTGTTTATTTGTTCTGCTGAACACAAAGGAAGATATTTGGAAGAATGTTTTAATCAAACAGATCTCATTCCCCATTGACTACCATATGTAGGAAATATACTATGGTAGTCAATGGGGAATGAGATCTGTTTGATTAAAACATTCTTCCAAATATCTTCCTTTGTGTATAGCAGAATAAATAAACACATAGAGGTTTTGAACAACATGAGGGTGAGTAAATACCGACAGAATTTTCATTTTTGGGTGAACTAACCCTTTAAACGGACTTTCATTTTTATTCTTTCACAGAAGAATGAAATGCACACATGATTGGTATGACATGAGTAAATAAGTGAAATTTTCTCAAAATGCCAGTCTCAAAATGAAAAGAAAATCAGACGTACTATGATTCTAGAACTAGTAATGTCTGGCTCTGCAAGTGTTCACAACTAGTTCACAAATTGGACTTGGAATTGGACAAGTTCACTGACTCGATGCCACTTTTGGGTTGTAAATTGCAACCCGCCACCGGTTGAGAGCCTCATATTTAAAGATC